TTGAAGGGAACACAGGAGCCATGGATAGCCAGTAAGAAGGTCTTTATTAACATAGAAGTAAGGTGACAGCGATTCAAATAGGAACAGATCGCGCCCCAGTATTTATAGAATAATGTAACAACTCAATAACCAATCAGGGGCCAGGTACTGCACAGCAACTGCTGCTGCAGTACCTTGGCCAATCAGAGGAGATTATATGTTTCTTGGAGGCTAGCAACAGCCTCCAATGCCTCCTAGCCAATTAGGGCTCAGCAGAGTGGTTGCTGGCCCTTTTTCATGTATCTGAATACACAACAGTATTGTCTGTATGTTGGAAATTGTTTGTCCTTCCCCCCCCTTTTTTTGAACTGTGAGCCGCCCTGAGTCCCCCCAGGGAAAAGGGCGGCATACAAATAAAGGGAAATAAATAAAGGGAAATCCATTTTGTTAATTTCATTAGGTTATTTAAACAGGTAGCGTGGATGCCACAATTGTGAACTGTCATAATTATCAACTTTTCTGTTCTTCCTAATCAGATCCTTTTCATGGACGGAAACATCTGGCCCAATGTATCCCAGGTTGTTATCTAAAACCACACTGAAGCTTTAGCATGCTCCATTTACAATTCCATCAATTACTATTTATAATTTAGTTGTCTATTTAAAAAATGCCTCAGAATTCTTTGTTGTGTCCTCCTGAAAACGCTTTCTGGTGGTGTGGCAGCATTAAAACACCTAGTCTCAATTCAGAGTCTATTCTAAGCTAGGGGAACCTCCTGAGATATACTAGGAAAAGAAAAGGTACAGTTGTCATCTTGTAACGTATTATCTTCATGAAAAAAGATATGTGGGAATATTGCATTATTGATGGACTTGGACTTTCTTGCACCCTTCAGTTATGAGGACAAACGGTTGAATAAAAGCCTGACATTAATTCTACAGCTGCAAACCTTCTCAATGAATAATAAAGCATGACAATCAATGAATGCAAAAATATATGCTCTCCTAAGGGAAGGGTGGATTCTGAGTTTTTAGGTCATAAAACACTATCAACTTGATTACATATACTGCACATAACCCAGATTTTTTCTTAGCAGTGGTAATATCTACTGTCATTTTGTTGAAGCATTTTAAATGTCATTATATAGCAGAATAAGAGAACACCCTAATGCCATCGATCTGTTTTGCATTCATTTTCAACATAAAAAACCCAAAGGAATTCAAGTTGTTATAAAATCAAGATCTATGACCACAAGAAAATCTCTCTCTTTCCCGTCCTCTCTGCGACTGAGCATTTATGTGAATTTTACCCTTAAATCATATTGTGCATAGGTCAGGAGGACTTTCCTGGGTTTTTAATTTTTATTTTAAAGTCGACATTTGACTCCAAATTTTATTGAAACTCTCTAATTAGAGGACCATTTTTCCTATGTCATTTTCCCAATTTAAATGCTACTTTCTCCCTTTCTTAAAGCTGCTTTTAACTGTAAGGAGTACATACAGAGAGAGAAAATGTCAATTTTAAAATTATTAATTTTTTTTTATCTATTAGCACTTCTTGTCTTTCAGAAATTCACTGATATTTTTTTTTCTTTCCTGCAGGAATACATGGACTCAAATAAATACATAGATTACTTGCTAACTCAACTGGAAGAACAGCGCTGGAACTTGTGGAAGTAGGTAGATTTGGAATATAAATCAGTAACATGGTCTTATTCCTATTTAATCAGTAGTAAAAATAGCACAGACTTGACAGTTTCAACATCAATTCAAGATTGGCCCTTCTCTTAATGTCAACTTTGGTGCCAAGTCAGCAAATGAAGTCTTCCCTATATATGTTCATAATATTGAATATACTTTCACAAACACTTAAGATCAACAGATATTTGTTGTTAGATGTTGCAAAAATGACATTTTTTCCAGTATAAATTAATGAAATTAAATCTATCGCTCATTAAAACAATATTAGAAAAATAATGTGAACACATTACCAGAGAGGTTCCTGCTTTGTATATTATACTGATAAGATTCAAGTTTCTATTATATATGTTAGGTTTTTTAAAAATCCGTTGCAATTTATTAGAAAAAAAATACTATCAAAAATATTACCTATTTTTTCCTTTGAAATTCTAGTTTGCAGGTGTTCGTTAAATGGAAAAATAATTTTTTGTTATTTTGGCAATTTTTAAGACATTTGTGTATAAAATAAACTAAAATGTTAGGGGTACATGAATCGTATGCATTAAATTGTTTTCTCTTTCTGTATGTATAGTTTTAGCTAAGACTGCAGTCTGCAGATGAATTCTTCTCAGGCAGATGGATCTAAGTTTATTTTGTACCAGGGATTGAAATATGAACTGGAACACTTAAAATTTAGCTACTGTAATTGTGTGTACTACTGAATGGATTAATGTATTGAACAACGTGTTGACTTTACTTCCTTTTAAAACTGTAGCTATCCATCTTTGTATCATTGCATAAATGAAAATCATTCTCAAAGTAATATTATTTGAAATGAACAGCTTGTATCAAGACTAGAAATCCCACATTTGCTTCTGTCCATACATTTTTTTTCTTTATTCTTTTAAGGGCAAAAGCTTTATAAACATAAATGTTAAATCAGCAAAGTAATATTTTCAGGGTAAATCTTTATATTTCTATACAAAATTAAGTCCTGTGATCTCAGTGGGCCTTCTCAAGAATATAGACATATATTTCTATGCACTTCTACATATATATGTATGGAATATATGTATAAGTGTATGTATATAGAAATATATTTCTATGTATGCAGGCTTAGAAATGCAGGCTTAGAGTGCAATACTAAATGTGTTTTTTTAAAAGACTCTTTATATTCATTTAGGTTTACTGTTGGCTATATAATTATAGAACTGGATCCTTATAGGGCAATCTTCTGCTGATCTTCTAAGACCTAATCCAATTAAGTACAGTGTTTTCTTATTCCCAGCTAAATGTGACAGTTTTAATCTTATATTTTCTATTCTCACGCATTATCTATTCTCTATTCTTTAACTTTAATGCCAAAGGTAAATGCTTTCCTATGCTTCCAATGGGAGAAAAGAACACACAAGAATGTTGTATTTGATTCAGTGCGATGCATTCTCTGTTCTTAACAATGTATGTTAAAACTATGACCCATATAAAGGATTTAGCAAAATTATAAAAACAAGTCTAAAGACTGTAGAATGAGATAAAGTAAATCCAAAGCAGATAATAAGGGAAGATGATTAACAGGCAGAGCACTGTATATGTTTAGATGCTGAAAACTGTAAAGTAAAAAAAAAAGCAGCTAAAGAGATCACACAAAATCTTGGATAATTATTTAATCCAATAAGTAAGTATTCCAAGAAGTGCCTTGGACTATTCTAGTCAGCCTCTGTTTTCTGTTGACAATCTTGCTACATTCCTTTGCAGACCCTGTTAAGTTGCTAGACACACTGACTGCACAAGATGCTTTTGACAGACACAAGTTTCACAGATGGAACCTCATTTTTGTCTAACTGTGACCTCTAATTTGAGGTCTATGCTTGCTAGACTTGATCTCAGTTTCAAGGCCCCTTAATCTGGTACTTCTTAACTATTAATTCCATTGATTCAGCACCTTGTGACTTGACAGATTAGTTGCTATGATTAAAATGCATAATTGTGTACATATTTGTACACAAATATATCTGTGTGTCTGTCTATATATCTTACAAGAAATAAAGGGGAAAAACATTTAGGCACTTATTCTGCAAACAAATGAAGAAAACACATTTGTATTGTGGTAAATGATTTAATGAATGAAGACATGGGTAGGGAGATATAAATAATACTAGTCAGATAAATATTATTTTTCAATGCATATCTTTTCTAATTAAAGCAGACTTTACTTATTTTAAATCTGTTGGATCAGAAACAGATAAAAGTTGCATTTGGATAATTTGAGCCCAGTATCCAGTCAAGAATTCTATTGCTTATGCAACTGAAAAAAGATGAACTCATCTCTAGGCCAGAGATGGCTGTTATTTAAGCAAGTAGTTCAAAACCAAGGCCTCTAAGTGCTTCAAGTAATTTCAAAAAAATATGAAGAAGTAACCCTGGTTACTCCTGAAGATATATAAGGTAATTCTCTCTATGCACTATCAGCAGATTATCAAGTGCAATCGCTTTCATTTGCAATGAACACTGTAATCTTGAAATATGTCCTATTAGATCCCTGCCAAATCAAGACTGAAACTTAGAAGAACTATACTGTCAATTTAAATGTACACTAATTGTCATACATTAAAATATTTCATTGCATACAACTCTCAAAAGGTCACCACGTCCAATATACACTGCACAAATATGACAAAATAAATACATAAATACAAAATTATGCATATACCCGCATATATTATATGACACAGAAAAACAACACAGTCTAGTTTGGATGTATACTTGTATACGGCAAGAAATATGAATCTTGCGAGTTTACCAGATGGATGGCATAGGGAACAAAGCTGTTACAGAATCTGNCTTGTAAAGCAGTTTGCATTTATTTATCAGAACTGCTTATCTACATGGCTGAGGAGAATGGGTGGATTATACTGAAGCGACAATCAGAGACAGGAGTTAAACTCTACTGGTTTAGACTTTAAGAAAAATGAAGTAGCTACGAAAGAAGTTGAAAAAGAAAGACTCAGCCAGGTGGATGAAACTGTTCTTTGGGTCTTTCAGCATTTTCTTCCATACTTTTATAGAGCTGATATTAAAATAACATCAATATAGCATTAAAGTATAACATTTTAAATTCAGATTTAGAAAATTTTGAAATATAATACTGTCCTTAAGTCAGTTCAGTGCTACAAAAAGTGAGATTACGACACAGATTCTGAGTAGTCAGATTTAGGAGAAAAAGGATTTATGTTGCAGAAATTTGGAAACTGAATATATGTAACTTGGTTTTCATTAACAAATGTGTCAAAGTTTCTGTGTGCTTCCTTTGCTTTTGATCTTATTTCTCTTTCTTGGCTTCATGAGGAGGATGCTAATCATTTGATGCCATAAAAATGTCCCACCGGTTCTTGTTCCTCAGTATTTTCAAAATGTCCATTTTCATTTTGAGGCTCTGGGAATTCCATCACTTTAAGCCTGGAACATCAGCAATTCAGACAGAGATAGTAAACTCTTTTCTACCGACCTGCAGTTTCATTTACAGACACCAAGCGTCCTCACCTTCTCTATTGCCAATGATTCAAAGTGGCAGGAGAAAAACTAGAAGATTAAAAACAACACAAGTGAGATATTTTAATCAATATTCGGGAAGCTGTGACTCTCCAGAGGTTTCTGTGGTTCACAGCTAAAATTATAGGCAGCTCTAGTGCAGCAATATACAGGGAGACTATCCAATCTACTTTAAGATATAGATATACATTTCTAAGGGATGCGATGGCTCAGTGGCTAAGTTGCTGAGCTTGTGGATCAAAAGGTTGGCAGTTCGGCAGTTCGAATCCCTAGTGTCGTGTAACAGGGTGAGCTTCTGTTACTTGTCCCAGTTTCTGCCAACCTACCAGTTCGAAAGCACGTAAAAATGCAAGTAGAAAAATAGGAACCACCTTTGGTGGGAAGGTAACAGCATTTCGTACATCTTTGATGTTTAGTGATGCCAGCCACATGACCATGGAGACGTCTTCAGACAGTGCTCGCTCTTTGGCTTTAAAACAGAGATGAGCACCGCCCACTAGAGTCAGGAATGACTGTGTGTGGGAAACCTTTACCTTTACCGTATACATTTCTAATTCAGCAAATTAGTCTTTAAAACTATAAGAGAGAGAGAATATGAGAGAGGGGGGGGCGCAGGCAGACAGACTGTTCCTTAGGATCTTCATTCATATATATATGAATACACACACACACACACACACACACACACACAGCAATTGCCACCTCCTATAGGGCAGTAACTGATAATTCTAACTGCCACCACTTTTCTTCTAAGAGAAGCCATATATGGGAATGAGGTAGGACTCTCTCTGACTGTCCAAAGACCAAACTGTTGAATACTAGCGCGGGAAATACAAGCGCGGGAATAAAGAACTCCTTCTGATTGGTTCCCGGGCGGAGCCGGTTCAATCCTCGCCCCGATTGGTC